GCTGGCCCGCCGAGGTATGCCAGCACTGCGTGGGCTTCAAGAGGCAGACGGCCTTGGGCGCGGAGCAGTGGCTGGGAGGCGCTGAGGGCATCGAGCGCATCATCGACATGCTCGACGCGGTCGAGGACGGCGAGCCATGGCCGTCAAGCCAGTCGGACATACTGCTCTACAACATACCGAGGGCAGAGGGCGGGGGCATGAGATGCCCAGGCCTGCTGCCAGAGGTGGTCAGGCTGTGGGAGAAGCGCAAGCGCCCCATCATGGCCAAGTGGGAGGCCTGCCACAGGAGAGACCACGACTGGTCACGGGCTGGACGCAGCAGCGAGCGCGGCGCCTGGATGCAGCAGCGCTCCTGCGAGGCAACCGCGGCCGGCAACGAGAGTTACGCCATCGCCTCGCTGGGCCTGGTAAGATGCTTCGAATACGTGGGCCACTGGAAGGTCTGGGAGACTGGCCAGCACTGGGGGTTCCCCACGCGCCTGCTGCGCACGACCCTCCGCATCTAAGGGGCAATCGAAAGGGTGGTGCTGGAGGGCGCGGTCACCATGGACAGGCGTTGGTGGCAGGGCCTCGCGGCGGGCTCCGTCTTCGCACCAGTCGCCTTCAAGTGGGCGCTGATGAAGGAACCCGACACAAACCAGGAGGACAGCAGCCTCGCGGACCTGCGCCAATTCTTCGACGACCTGTCGATCGCACACATGGGCGAGCGCCGCTGGGGCCATCGACCGCCTGGATAAATGTGCTCGAGATGCCAGCCTCCCTGGGCGAGAATGGGAAACAGTGCTGATGGCATCGCCCACAGCTCTGGCCCAAAGACATAAAGCCCACGACCAAGAGGATCGGGATCAGGACTGCGAGCCACGCCAAGCATCTGGGCATCACCGTCTGCGCAGGCAGTCGCAACCGAGTGTCCACTGTACAAAAGGAGAGCCCTGAAGTGGAAGAGCCGTGGGAATGGAGGCCAAGCGAACAAGCTGGCCACGGCAACAGCGCCCTCCGCCCTCTACGGCACGAGAATGGCAGGAGTGTCCACATCAACAGAGCAACAGCTGCGCCAAGTCGTCGCGAGCTTTTTCGGCGGCAGCGTGGCAAGGCGGTCAGCGCCACTGTTTGCCAAGCGAGGGCGTGGACCCCGCACGCGTCGCCAGCGCGGGCCCCGTCGTGGAGTGGGCCAACGATTGGAGGGAAGCAGTGCACGACCCAGCGTTAGCGGACCGACTCACGGCCGCTTGGAAACGCTGGAGCATTCGCGTGTCGCCATGGACATTGGCATGAGGCCCCGCGGAAGAATGTTTGGCCACGGCTCGCACGCAAGGTTGGCAATCGCAGGCGCCTTGCATTGGGAGGCCCAACCAGCAGCTTGGCCTAAGGCGAAGCCCATATCCAACTCTGCTGTACCGTCGCAGCGATAGTCCCAGAAATAAGAGATCGTCACGGGAGCGACGGGCCATGTCAAGCGCAGATGTTCTCGGTCTCAATGACAACCGGCGCGCCTCACGATGAGGCACTCATATCTTGGCGACCGGCCGCTTGAGTACAAACGGCCGCGGACAAACGTTCGGTATCTCTCGCCTTTGCCCCAGTTCCTTGTAGAGTCGGGGGGGGGGCGAGGCGCGAGTCCGCCGCCCGCTATACAGTAAACACTATACAGACAAGGAAGGCAGCAACAGGCGAGTTCAAAAGGAACGTTGACCCGCACGCAAGTGCCCTTGCACGCAAGTTGCCTTGCGAGCAGATCGCCCCGCAGGCGAGTATTCCTCAAGCGGCCTAAGACGATGTTGTCTGACAGGCCCGGTACGCAGTACGACGTTTCAAGTCGTGTTTGAAGGGTCGCGTTCCTCCCATGACCTGTAGAGGCATATATATACATATATATATATATATATATATATATATATATGTCAATGCTCCCGTTGGTGTGACCGTCCGCAGTCATGTCGCGAGTGTCACACCACTGTTTACTATGAACGATACATCGCTCCATCATCTATCGTATCCATCGTATCCAACAGAGGCGCCCCAAAAGACTACACTCGGTCGGTTTCTTCAGGCCCTTGCTTGACAAGGACTTGAAGACAGATTCCGCCTCTCGGGCCAAAGTGCCCTTGATGTTCGGGCCGCACATCTCCAGTATGTCCTTCAACTGGGTGGGTGTCAGTGGCCCTGCGTGGAGTTCGTGCAGAGTGACGATCGTGGGATTGCAGTCCTCCTAGTTGCGGGCTGCTGCTAGTGTTTCTGCTGAATAGCTCGAGCGGACCTGCGAGCGGTGAGACTTGCAGCAGGCATCGAGAAGATGGACGACCGGCGCGCCAGCAGGCGTGCTTCCACGCCGTAGCAGGTTCGCCACGCGAATACCATAGTCTTCGACCTCGTCATCCGCATATCCACTCAGGCGCCGATAGCCGGAGTCGCTGCGCAGGAAGACCTCACCCGTTGGAGTCATCGGTCGATATATGATCTTCTTAGGGCAGGCCTGCAATTTCCTGGTAATCGCGTTCAGTCGCAACACCTGTATGTTGGTCGGTTCTTGGACACGTTGCAGGGAAACAACATACATCATCAACCACACCTGTGTGATAAATGCCTATGCCAAAGCGCCTCTGAGGCTGACAAAAATGTCAGTGACCATCTTTGATGCCTTGGCGTCAGCGTCTGCGCCAGCGAGTTCCGGATGTTGTAATCGTCTTGATCAAGCGTAACGTTGCCGCCCCCATCCTTTGCATTTCTCACCGCACCGTTGGTCTATGTATGTTTGTTGAGTTCACATTTACCAAAAGTGCCCTCAACACATTTGACGCACCTGTCGACGGTGTCCCCAGTGCCGGCCATATTGATACCATTGACGCGCTTGGCTGTGAGAAGGTTGTTGCTTGTCGAACTCCTCGTCGTAGGACGTGGGTCTGAGACCGAACCCTCACGTGGTCTTTCCGAGCTCCAGTGGGAAGGCTCTTGGTACATCCTTGGCGCCGGCACCTGGTTTGAGGCGCTGTAAGCAATTCTTCGACCCATCGTAGTGCTCGAATCCTGGAAGGGATCATAGCGCCGATGCTGATCCAGGCGGCAGTGCAAAGCACACCGCGCGTTCCTTTGCATCGATTACTTCAGCAAGTTCCTGATAGGTCAGTTCCTTCTGGAAAGCCATGTCGGAGTCGAGGGAGGAGATGATCCACTGCTTCCTGCGCGCCGCCGCGCTTGCGACGTAGTCTCGGACTTGGCCGCCGCGCTGCCCTTGAGAAAGCTTCCACGTCGAAGGCTGCGAGGCCCATGATATCCCGAAGTACCAAGCGTACTCTGATGGCCCATTCCATCTCGCCCTTTTCGTTCTTTACGAACTTCCATTTCTAAACTTATCTCGAAGACGTAATGTTTGACGCCTTTGATATATGTAGTGCATCTTGAAACATTTGTTGTCAAACCATGTCCTGAGTTCTGTGCGCAGGGCCTTGGACACCTTGACTGGATTCGCCCTAAATGTCAGCCTTCGTGAGGAGGTCGTCCTCCTTGACGACGGCAGCTCGTGATGCGGCAGCGGTCACATATACTCGCATGGTGGTTACACGGTCAAAGTCAAATATCCGATGTCGTTGCTCGGATATGACTACCTTTGACATGTCTGCTGTAAAAGCAGAATTCTATATAAGGACCGTGATCGTCAGAGTCCAATCTGTAAGTGTCGTCTTCGTCCGTGGAGCATACTACTGGAACATGATCTGCCCCCGTGATGCCGGAGTCGCGTGGATGGCCCCACATAGGCAGGTGTCCCCGCTGTTCTTCAACTACCGTAACCAGCGCACTGTTGTCGGCGATCATCTGCGCGGGTGCAGCGCACGGGGTCCTCTAGAGGAATTGCCCTCGAAGGTTCCTTTTTCCCCCTGTAGTTCTGCGCACCACGCGTTCATAAGATGTTCCTCAAGGTCCGCCTCCGATTCCTCATATATCGTAGGAAGCCGCCCGTTTCTTGTGGTGGTTCGGCTTCTGGAGCTTCTCTGGCGTCGGTGCCCTGCGTCGATACGTCATCCAGTTCCTCAGACTTCGCCATGTCTTGGTAGAAGCCCGCTTGACGTTTAGTGGACTCTAGGCATTGGATGACCCTCGAATGTGCTGCTCCTGCTATATCTTGTAAATGTAGGGCAGCGCCGTCGGCATCGAAATAGTCGATGCCTGGATTCACGTCGTTGCCATAGCGCACCAGCGTACAACTGTCAGCATAAGCCACCGGAGGTAGCTTGTGGATACTCTTAGCTAACCTGACAGAGGCTACGTTCTCGATACGAAAAAACGTTTCTGCGATGGCATTGGAGAAATAAGTGTACCTGAGGAGATAGTCGGCTCGCACGGGTCATCTGAGGCGTTCCCTTCTTGGTCGGGATGTAGCCAACTGTCATAGCGGGTCGCCCCGCAGATAGACTGGCTATAAATGACAACACCGTCCGTAGCGCAGCGTTGTCTGAGCCCACCTCTCTGGCCATCACAGCTTCGACGCATCATGAATGTCGTGCGTCGCCGCACCGGACGTCTACATCGCGGTTCCCCACTCGGAGAATAACTTGACCCCTGTCGGGATCGTTCCGCGCGACAGGGGCAGGGCCGCTCCAGCCTCCCCAGTCATCCGTCGCAGTCGTGGGACGATGATAGTTAACCAACTCTCCTTCATCATAGTAGTACTGACCAGTGACAGTGGTCTTGGTCCATAGTGCACGATTGGTTTTGGTAACTGCACTGGCGTGTGTGATAGCCTCAACGCATGCCCGGCGGATCATCTATTCTCGAGAGCGATCGGGTGCTGATGTCTGCTGTTCGTGGTCCAGAACAGGCAGGTCGGGCAGCGTCGCTGGCGGCCGTCCAAACAGGGCGCTGCATGGAGACACCTCAGTATAAAAGGTAAACGCCTGGGCGGCAAATAACGCTTCATGCGGTAGTCGCGTGAACACAAAGAGTATGTTCAATCTTTTGAGTTCAGCATCCATGACGAGAAGTAAGTAAATGTCGTAGTGCGCCACTTCTGGCTTCAATTGTCGTAGCGCGCTGTCCACGCACGCGCATCCTCACCTCAGTGCCCTTTGCCTTGAAGATTGCCTTTGCGGTGTCGTTGTTAAGTGCACCTTCCCCGTCGGAGTAAAGTACTTTGGCGGGTCCGAAGTGCATCAGGCACTGATGGTATACATCTAAGGTACTGGTCATCGGTTTATCTGGTATCTCAATTTCAATGGCATATCGAATGCAACGATCAATGATGTGAAATGTAGTGTGATCCTGCTTGTAGAACATTAAGCCGCATTCAACCTCTTCACTAAACTTGCCAGGTAGCGCAGCGGATGGCATAACACCATGCCCCGGCTTGTCCCAAGCCCTGCACTCCCGACATGCGTCACAGACACCCTTGATCAAGTTAAGCCTGAGGTTGTCCAGACCAGCCGTGGTTAAGATGAGTCGCATCTTG